GTGTTTCAAAGATGTAAAGAGACAGACAAAGGTAGAGAAAAAGATAAGGTGAGTATTGTGAAAGTGGTGGAATATGACGTAAAGTAGGTTCATGGTAGTTTGAAGTCAGTAGTCAACTTCTGGCTTATAGACTTTTTGCCGTATAAGTTTACGTTGCCCAGGGTGTACCACGTGGAGGCAAGTCTATCGCACACCTCAGTAACCATATTATTTCAATTTTGTTTTTTTAAAGAAACGTTTTTCAATTGGGCACATACGGAGTGTCCTCAGCAAGCTGTTCCAGAATTGGTAACTATGGTTACACCACAAGATCATCTCTACCATATAACTAGAATACTTACGCTAGCAGTTCCTGCATCGCCATCAAATGAAACGGCTACTGCAAAGACCTCTGTCCTGAATACCATTCCTCCACCAAGGTATGTCCTGATCGCTGATAGATATGGAAGTGGAAATTTACTTGGGCTGTTGAATTCCGACCGACTTTTGGCATATCTTCGAGTTAGAATGAGGAATTTGCCTACACCTAGTGCTTTGAAGGTGAGAAAATGTGTTTGCTTTTATAATTTTTATACTGGAATCGAAAATTTTCATTTCTCATCATAAGTATGTACAGGACTGATAATAATTGAGATAGAAGGGATATTTGAACTTAGATGAACACTGTTAAACGCTCATTAATCCAATTTTCTTTATTTCCAGATTTCAAGAATTTTCTGAATAGACTTTAATACACCATGCCATTGTTAAGCCATCTTTAATCACATTTAGAAATCCTCGGTCTAAGACAGTACAATGAAAGCCTTAGGGCTTCTTTATTGATACCACTAGCCATTTCCGGTGGACGGTGACGCCACTTTGCCGTGTCGCAGACATGTCCTCATCTAGGAAATTCGATGTTTAGTTAGGGTAAGTGGATTAGATCTTCGGTCCGTTGAATTTAAAACTTGTATCAGTGATATGATTCAGCGTTTTATCCACTTAAAATAGTTGAGCAAATCTTGAAAGTAGGAGATCATGATTCTGAAATTAACTATTTAAATGTAAATCAATTTTGCCCAACTCCTTCGGAGTGTCTTATTTAGCTAAAGCTCAACTAAAATGCCACAACATGATGGTAATGGGGGTTAAGGTTCTCATGCGGTTTTGTGCTTGCTCTTTTTGTTCCCCTAGCTTTGTGCAATGGATTGGATAATTTTGCTCAATATCAGCCTACTATCAGTGCAGTTTCAAATGTTAACAATTATGTTCTTTAATGGTAAACAAGGCTTACTGTTATAATTTAAGTAGTATATACTCCGATTTAGGCAAGCGTAAGTAGTCTCCCGAGCATAAGGTGGGAGCAACGCGGTTGGCAAACGGCCGATTCCGCCATTTCAAACGATGGAGAGGATGATCCCCCACCAGGTGAAAATCGTCGACGAATTCTTTCCTCCAGTGGCGACGCCTTCTATCTTAGACCGTCAACAACCTGCCGCGAAGCTCTACATATCATCACGAGAGCATGGAATGAAGCCGGTCTTTCTTGTCTCCCGGTTGCTACAGAAAATGGAACTGGCTTTCAGGGAATGCTCACCAAACACGATATTCTTGTAAGTGACTTGAATCAAATCGAGATCATAATGATGGCTTTATATTAACCGCCCTTTATTCTGACAGGGAGCGATTTTCGCTGGCCCCTTAGACGTTGCATTAAACGCGTCAATTGGCACAATCTTGTCAGTTCGACCCAGGGTTCGTTGTGTTCTGCCTTCTTTTATTCCACTTTGGGTAGAATTCTAAGGACACCTGCGTTTCTTTAATTTCATAGCCTTCTGGATTCACTAATCAAGCGATTTGTTTCACCTCCGAGTGCCTTGTTGCAGTACTGGATAGAATGTTTCGACAGAAGGTACGCTGTTTCTGTCTAAACGGTGTTTAGTAACTTCATAAGATTTGTAAAGTTGCCTTGTTTTAGGCCCCCTGCCTGGTAGTATTCGATAAACCAGGTTCTGGTGCTAGTTGGAATGGTCAGGGTGCCTTAGGAAAGGCGATTGGTGTAATAACAGCAGCGGATCTTCTCCAAGCAATCGTGATTGATGCTCACACCCCTCCACCCTCTGCATCTTATGCTGAAACGCCCGAAGATGCTTTTTCCAAGACCACTTCCCAAGTCAAAGGTCGGCATCCAACTAGGAGTGGTGGTGGTAGTAACAAACGACATTCCCTTCCTTGTGAGATTTTCAACGAGTTTTGTTTACTTTCGCACGTCTATTTCATTAACACGTGCTTGAAATTTTCAGCTGAAATGGCGAATTCCTTACCTGGAGCTCAGCTTTTATCACCTTTCACAAATCACCAACACGGTTTAACCAGAATCTTCCATCGTACCAAGTAGTAGATTTCAGTAACAATAGAGTTTCATTTCATCTATCTAACTTCGTTTTCTTTTCAGACGATATTCGGAAAGTGAAGTATCCCCATTGGAGGGTCCATTTGCGGCATCTGCCAATAATAATACCGTCAGTAGCAACGGCCAATCGCATCGCCCCCACAGTCACCAACCCGGAAGGACTAGTACCACACCATCCAATCAACATAATGGGGATGATGGAACACTCTTTGAAATGGACGAATGTGTTTGATTCGTTGATATCTTCTAAAAATGCTTTGTGGAATGAGATATTGACGTACTTTCCAAGCTGTACATTATTCCACATACACGCTGCACGCATTTCGACTTTTATATTGATCCGATCAATGGTCGAATTTCCACTAACCTATGGGTGAATGGGTCTTCATGCCCGCTTTCCATCACATAACTTCCCCCCCCCCACACCTCTTCTCTCTGTACTGTTAGTCCAACCCTCCTTTCTTCCTATCAACCCAAACTTTGCAAAAATGCTCGTTTTTAATGTTTATCGGCTAAAATAGTATCAAATCAAATGTGCACACAGTTGAAATCTTCATTTTGTCAATTGAATATTTGACATTGTTAGCATGGGGGATTTATATGAATCTTAGCGACATATTCTGAACTACTTATTACTCATTAGTGCCAATCAAACCGTGAATCCTAAAGCAGAGGAGATAACCTAGCAATTCCTTTTTACTTGAATAAGGCTATTTAATTGCATGCATTTTTCTTGATCTTTGCTCCAGCTACACGTGTATGTCAGTGGGGCCTGAGATCACAAGTTGCTCTTGGTTACTTTCCTTCTGGCCAAGTCGAGTGTTGACGGCATTTTTCTTTAAGGCCTGCACTTACCCCATGCATTACTACTTGGTAATCACATATTTATCGGGACAGGATACCCTATACTACAGGAGAGAGTAGGGATTTGGGAGATTGAGGAGTTTCGGGATAGGACGGTGAACACATGGTGTCCTCGAGGAGACCGGTATTGAAGTTTATTTATTTATTTCAAATGGCAGGCACTTTGATAGTTACCATTAGTCCTCTAGTTGACTTCGGGCTTCACAGAAGGGAGGGACATTAAAGTGAGAAAAATTCAACAGGGGAAAAGAAGACCGATTCACAGGTGTAAAAGACAGACACGAAGACAGAGAAAAGGCTAGATGAGTACTGTGGAAGGGGTC